CGCACTAGAGGCGGTTTAGCCAATCACAACACACTGGGCTAGCTAACCAATCAGAGCCCATCGCGTATTTCTGAGGGAGGGGCTTCATAAAAGAAGGAAATGATCAGCGTGTTTCTCAGAAAAGGGACAGAGCGGTGTGGAATAAAGGTAAATTATGTGAAAAATAATGCATTTTTTAAAAAACAAAGCATTAACACATGCTAGACTGCACCCCATAAACACAATCAAGCCTAGAAAAAAACCAGTGAACCACCCCTTTAACTAATGTTAACAGAAACGACTTTAAGACAGAGGAAAATCATGTACACTACTAATACTTGCAAAAGTATCAAAAATAATTTTGTTAACGTTTCAGTTTCATGACCTTCATCAGATATATATTGACTTCAGGTGTGCGAGAATTGATTGTCAATTGAACAGAAAAAACTTTAACATTTATAAATGTATTAGTAATAGGAAATGTTGAAATAAAAAATAAAATAAATAAAAAATATGGCAGTCACACACAAGGCAAAAGCGCAGCATCTACAACTCAAAGATATCACATACACCGGAGCCACAGAAAGACAAACATGTCGCTGAAAAATACACAATACACAATTTTACAGCCTAGGGTGAAGACATTATGCACTTTAACAACAATTTGGGACAAATATAATGTAATTTAATGGAAAACTATGTGAATGGCGCTGTGTTGTGCAGCAGAATTTTCTCACATCAAAACAAACAACACGAGGTGTCAGTGATTTCTGCCTCTAGAGGCCGCTCTTACACTGTATAATGACAGTGGACCTTCTCAGCCGCTCCAGCAACAGACGCAACCCAGAAAAAAATATCAGCATGGATTTTTGCCGATAATCGATAGTTCTGGAAATCAACTATCAGTGCTGATTAATTCCTAAAACCGATATATCGGTTGACCTCTAATATACACATCATATATAGCACCTTTAAATATATAAAACGACATAAATGGACAGTGGCTGTCAAGCGCCAAAAAGGGAAAACCTGAATGACATTCCAAACCTAAAATTAAATGAATCTCCAATCCTTCTTCTATCGTTTCAGGTTTATCCATAGTTATTCAAATGCTAGAAAAACATACAGCTGCCTTCCCAAGTAAAAACCGCCAAATAACATTTACACGTATGATACGTAATATTCTGATGTGTAATATTCAGACAGTGGGGAGATGGGGGGGATTCCCCCCATCTATATGTCTCTGCATCGATTGAATGATTAATTTTTTTAAATTTAATTTAAATTTATTTTTTTATTCCCAGTGAATAGGAGTTCAAACTCCCAACCGGGTGACACTACTCCAATAATAAACCATGCAAAACACCCAAAAATTATAATATCTTTAAAATATTGCCAAGCAAAGTTTCAAACAACAATAAATTCAGAGAAGAACTTCAACTGTAAGCGTCACAAGAATACGGAAAACAAAGGTTTTGTTTCCTCTTTTTTCCTGAAGTTTGTTATTATTTAAAATTGTATGTACATTTTTATACTTTTTTTTAATTTACCGCTTAGGCATGTTGACAATAACGTATATCTCCAACATATGGCCAGATAAGTTTTCAGTGGACTTTCAAAATTTGCTTTGCGTGAGAAAGCAGGAAAATATACAGTTACAATGTGTTTTTCATATGATTTAGTCGAGTTAGTTTTGCATCAAACACAATGTAATTTTCGGCAGTCGAGATCTGGCAGCAACAGTGCATTTTTCCGCTTGGGCAAGCACTTCGTGGACAGCTTACCTCACACATGAAATCAGCCGCAGACCAGCAAAACAATGAGAACGCGCTACAATCCTGAGTCACAGCGACAGAGTGGAGGCACTAAAGCTGCGGAGAATCTGCTCACCCGGAAGCAACCGCAACTGATGTAGATTTACAGAAAATTACCATTGTTTTTCAAAAAAATAATTTTACATACTTTTTCCCAACACTTTATCAATCTTTAAGTTACATCTTAAATGATCAACTTATAATAATGCTTATATTAATTAGCCCGTGAACTCATTCTCTCAGACGGCCTGAGTATGCGGAGCATTCGCAGCTTATATGGACAGAATGCCACTGATATATATATATATATATATGTGTATATAAATATAGGGGGTCTGAATAATTTCCGTACCCACTGTATATATATATATATATATATATATATATATATATATATAAAATTATATATACACACATATACGTATAACTCATTCTCATACAGTGAAGCACTTACAATTGAAGTGAATGGGGACATTGACATTACAATTAGTGGTCAACTATGTCAAATCAATGCCACATATACTTAAGAATTTAAGTATTGCAAACGAAAATGAAAATATTGAGAAAAAATAAATGTGCTTTTTGCAAACAAACATAAGTGAACATAAAGGAAAATATTTTCCATGACCTCAGATGATGAACCAACCCTGAACCAACATACAAAACTACCAAATTTTGCTATAAGTTTGGTCGCAACATATAATCATTGCTGTTAACAGTGTTCACCATCTGTTTGACTGCATGTCATTAACTAACTGCATGATTTTACTGTACATTTCTGCCATATGGACATCGCCTTGACATAATCACCACTGATAAGCTACTCCTAAGTATATTGTAGAAACTTTAATTTTCTGTGAAGCTGCTTTGCAATGATTTGTATCGTGAAAAGCACTATTCAAATAAACATGAATTGAATTGAATTGAAAGGGACTGGGGCATGTACAACAGGCCTTGGTATGCCACCTTGAATGTTACGTCACCAGCCTGAGACACAGATCACAACTGATCTGCTCATCGTTGATTAATATTAATACCGATTCTTAATATTAATACTATTAATAAGTCCCCAGTTTCTTTTACAGTAAAAACAGTCAATATATGAGGCACAATATAAAAGTTGCGTTTGTGTGTGTTTGTGGCGGTGTGATATGAGAGATGTGAAAGAAGGTCTGGTGTCAAACACCCGGATGAGCGCTGTGTTTTTTACTGTTGCTAATGACAATGGATGTTATCGGGGAATTACACACCTCAGAATGTTATGACAGAATGTTTTTCACCTCGCGCTCAGTGTGAAACGGCCTTAAAGCTAGAGAACTCTTAGTTTAAGGTCAAGCTGACTTAAAAAAAACATTAAATATTACAACAAATTAGTAATTATTAAAACCAAATAAATACTACCTAATTGTATATTTTGATATGGGGTGTTATTTTACACTGTAAGGCATACTAGCAGGATCTGATACAGAGCCTAGTGCCCTAAATTATATCACAAATCGCAGTACGCTTTTAACACCTTTATCAGGTTCGATTGCAGATTTTAATCTTTTTTCCTCAAAACACAGTAATGCTGTATGTTTTTCACAACAGTGAAACTGTTTCAATAGACATTAGTTATCAGTCCGTTGAACATGATTTATTTGTGTACATTTCTGTCTCTGTTCAGTTTGGATGATGGAGGACATTTCAGGATTGTTCCAGGACTGAAAAAATGTAAGTCTTCTCTCACGTTTAAACACACCGATGCATATTTAATGATGCCATAGATATTCTGACTTCTATTCCTGTGTTCAGATGCCTTTGATCTCACACTGGATCCGAACACGGCACACACTCGTCTCATTGTCTTTGAAGGGAACAAAAAAACGACATGTGTTAAAGAGCATCAGCCGCATCCTGATCATCCAGAGAGATTTGAGCGCTTTGAGCAGGTTCTGTGTGTTGAGAGACTGACTGGACGCTGTTACTGGGAGGTTGAATGGAGCGGCTGGAGTCATGTAGCAGTGTCATATAAAGGAATCAACAAGAAAGAAGGGAGTGACAGTCGGTTTGGACTCAATGAAAAGTCCTGGAATCTTTACTGTTGTGAAACGATTTATTGTGCCTGGCACAAAAATAATAACATTAACATTCCTCCCTCGTCACCCCTGTCTAATAGAGCAGGAGTGTATGTGGACGTGTCGGCCGGCTCTCTGTCCTTCTTCAGCGTCTCTGACACACACACACTCACACACTTACACACATTCAACACCACATTCACTGAACCCCTCTATGCTGGATTTGGACTTTATAATGATTCCTCAGTGTCTCTGTGTCAGATTTAACATCATATTGCATAAAAGCAACAGAGAAATCACACACAGTGGAATATTCAAAAGGAAAAATTAATTATTTACATTTATTCATTTAGCAGATATATTTATCCAAAATAACTGGAAGTTGATTTTCCTAAAAGGCTCAAGAGACTAAATGGAGATCCTTACTTACATTTCATCTTAGTATCAACAAAAAAAGAATTTTTCCCTAAATTCCTTAGGAGAAATTAAAGTAGACACAAATGGGACATAATATAGGAAGAGAACAGGAGGAGAAACTCATGCTGTCGGAGATGCAGCTGTGCCATATGTAGCAATGGAGGCAAATGTCTCTAGATGAGGAGAAAAATCAGAGCACAGTGTGGGATGTTGTAGAGGTCTTTTTTGTAACTTAATAGGAGACATGAGAGGGTATTAAGGGTATTTTGTTTTTCAGAAAACTTAGGTAAGTCTCAATTTGATATTCATGCTAACTTCTGTCTAAGAGATGGTAAACATCTCTTTTTTTATCTCCTCTGGGATGTTATATATATATATTTATATATATATATATATATATATATAAAAATAATATTTAAAAAAAAATGTGTCCGGGATGCCAAAGCCCTTTGCAGTCTGTATGCGTATCTGGGGTTGTGTAGTAAAGTTTCTGTTGTGATTATTCTGTCTCTCTCCTTAATTGCTTAATATTATATCACAAAGTGAATATTTCTCACATGCATTAACAAGAATATAAACTTTCCCAATCTTTCCCTCCATAAAACAATACATGTAGTGATACAATGCCATATGATGATTAGAGACAAAAGGTCATGCGAAAAAAAAAAAAACCTTTCCAAAGCAACAGCCAAAACTCTCAGATGTACAGCAGGCCTTAGCGTACCATGTAGGAAATGAGATACCTGAGCATATCTCCCCAAAGATTTGCCAACAACAGTCTTTACTTTTTTCACCCAGCTGAAAAAGGAATTCCAGCACTAAACCAACTGTCCAGTTAACCCTGGTCCAACTGGCATTTTGTTCATCATAGAGTGTAGAGTCTCCAGTTTAAGGCGTAGAGGGACCTCGAGTAATGCGGAGTTCACACTGCGTGACTATCTGGGGTAGCATTCAGTCGCTACTGTGTTCACATTGCACGATGGATCGGCAACAGGAGGTTACACACTGCTTGACTTCACAAAAGGAAGAATAACGACAACTCTGTCTGGTCCAGGGTTGCCAGGTTTTCTCAACAAATCCCACCCAATTGCTACTCAAAGCTAGCCCAAAAATAGCCAAATTGGGTTTCGAGGAGGGTCCCCTGGTAAAATCTCTCAGATCGCGTCTTTCATAATTCACACTGCATGATTGTCACTCGCTTGAACAAGCACCGATTTCATAAAACCTGTCAGCGAGTGAAAATCGGGGCTAAAATCGTGCAGTGTGAACTCAGCATAATATGGTCTCAAAAACCAGGGTTGAGAGACCAGAGTTCAGAAGGTTAGGTTTGGCCTGCAAGAACCGAACCAAACCAAACCAAACTCACACGCAGCAAAATCCCCAGTGTTAATTTAACACTGATCTGTGTTTATATGGGAGCCACCAGCAGAGTGTTAAAAGTAACACTAGCCGCGTTAGAGTTAATGAGATAAATAAGTGATTTATTGAGTGATGATTGAGCATTATTAAAGACACCTGATGACAACGAGCAGAATCACTGAAAATAAAACAACTACATCTGACTTCCATTCACAGCCTTAAAGAGGACATATCATGGAAATCTGACTTCGTCTTACCTTTGACCATAAAAATCCAAGTTTGAGTGTTTCAAAAACACCTCAATTTATGCAGATGTGTGCCAAAACCAGTTATTATGATCTGCCTTTCTTTCTTCCTCAGACAAAAGTGTTCCTACTTCTACATTGAGGCAATTGAATTCTTGTGTCAGGTTCGAAGGGTTTTTCTGAAGGTTTTCTTAAACGTCATTCACATTTTTCTCTTCATCCTTGAGACTGTCAGTGTCTTTCATGAGCTTGGTAATTTAGCAAAGTTATGATCTTCTGTCTTTATAAGGGCCACTTTAAGCTCACAGCCACATTAGCCAGTGCTTACCATGCCATATCTTTGCCAAAACTGGTCCAGATATGTTTTAGGATAACTGGGCCCAGGGCCGGAGTGGGACTCATTTTCAGATCTGGAGTTTCATGCTTTTGAACGGCCCACTTTAGTTCATGACTAACCATAGCTATTAAAATAATGTCATTAAAACCTCAGTATATAAGTCTGCAATAGTGCACTGTTCTCTACATCCTTGTAATTCATTGAATTTTTCTAGAGCTTTCGTGTTTTTAAATTTTTTTAAATGTAGTTATTTTTTATACTGGCCTTTTCAGCGCCGTATTTTGCTTTCTATTATCTATTTTTATCTTTTTTTTTTGCTTGCATATCTCCAACAACTGACTTTTTTTCCCTTTTTTTCTGAGCAAGGTGCTGCTGTTGAGGAGTCAACAGATAATAGCCAATTAACTTCAGAAATGGAAAATAAGCAACAATTGTGATTCTTTATAAGAAAATAAGGAACAGAATAAGGGGTGCACAAAATATTTGTACTGTACCATAATGTAATGTCTGCCTGCAGTCAAAAAGTTCTCAGAAATAATCACCTATTTATGCACAATTATTCTAAAAATAATTTTAATGTCATACAAATAATAATTTCATCGACCTGAGTAAATTGTAGAATTGTGACTGCACGAGTGGTGTAGTAATTTAGGAGGTGAATACTGTGAAATTACATAAATACAAATGGCATGAAATTTAAAAGCATAAAAACTGAAGGTCTATTTAAACAATGGCACTTACATTCTTGAATAAAAATATTATTGCAACCATAGCCTATGAATGAATAAAAATGCATATTTTTCAATTAAAGAAAACTTCGAGAGTCTGGGCTGCTTCTGGTGCTTGGACTTTTACTTCAATATAATGAGGTCCAAGTTTAAGAACATGCTAGAAGTTAACTTTTTTTAATGTATTTTTTTATATTACATATATTTAATATATAACTATATCTATTTAACAGCATTCACTTACAATAGTGAAAGACGTCTTCCCTCAGGTCGATTGAATGTTTTCCTGTCTTGCTGGATGTTGGGCTCATGATCAAACTGATTTGCAAAAATCGCTGTGAAGAGGGAGCAGCCAGCAAATTATTCCGCTTGGTCTTAAAGCCTTCCAAATGTTCACAAATAAAACAATAATTTGCGGGAAAAGAATAATTCATTATCAATTGAGAACTTGGTCATATGGCGAATGTCTGAGAATACAGGACAAACTGCATTATAGATTTCATACGGGATGCTTCTTTGATGCCTTAAATACGGGCATCAATATTTCAACCCCAGTGGCATGGCAAGACTGGCCCTCGTGCCCAAAAAAAACAGACCGGCCCATCGGGAATTCTCCTGGTGCTCCCGATTAGCCAATCCGGGCCTGACTGGGCCACATTTGTGGCATCATATGCGGGCCATTTTAGGCTCACAGCCACATTAGCCAGTGCTTACTGTGCCATCTCTTTGCCAAAACTGGCCCACATATGTTTGGGGAAAACTGGGCCACATTTGCGGCATCATATGAGGGCCACTTTAGGCTCACAGCCACATTAGCCAGTGTTCACTGTGCCATATCTTTGCCAAAACTGGCCCAGATACGTTTTAACCCCTTAACTGACAAAGATCGGTGACGGCCCCAGATTGTTGTGGTTTCACTTTCACAGCACGTTAAAATATCACACTCTTACTTGATCTGGACAAACTGTGCATCATTAGACAGATTAAAGACTCTAGCTTCGATATTTGACCACTGTTTTGATAAAACATTGTTGCAGTGACAGTAATTTATTAATTTATGTAAGGAGTGCAAAATAATAAATCCGTATATCGAGGGGTAAGAACCAGAAGGGCGTAAGTGACATTTTTGGTGAAATGGAGATATATATATCAAATGAAAGCTCTTAATGAGCTTCAGTAATCAGTACACAAAGTCAGATCAAACTATGGTAAAATTTTTGTTTTGGATCTCCGGTAAAGTTGGTGAAATGTCACTTACGCCTTTCTGGTTCTCACCCCTCGATATGTCATATTTGGAATTTAAAATTCACCACGCATTCATATTCAGTAACGTTTGCAGCAGTTTATTTGTGTTCACATAGCTTCACTGAACAGGGTCAAAAAGGGCTTATAGTCCAAAGATGCATATACATGGAGATATATAGATATATTTACTCATGTTTACTTCGTATGTCTTCAGACAGAATCATCATTTCTATTAATTTTCCACTGATTTAGGCGATTTCATTAGCATTACACTTCCCAGCGCTGTATCTGTGTGTTATACTCTTCCGTGGTCATTTGCTGGTGAAATGTCAATCATTGTGCATCACATTCCGCCCCGTCTCATCCTGTGATGCACTTCCCGTGCTCTTCCGCATCCTGTTCTGACCAAAACAAACCCAGATAAACACTTTTACACACAAAGCATAAAGATAATAAAGACACGATTATGATAGGATGTGGTTTGTATGTGATTTTCTTGAGATTTGGGGTATTTTCATAACAATAAAGGAGGAGGTAGGAGGAGGTAGAGAAACAATATGGCGGACTCTGCGACACGAGGGTTGGCTGTATCTTCGTCTGGGTCTGCGTCTGTGTTTAAACTATCTCGTCTGAAACCTGAGATATATAACACTGTTGATGGCAAAGTTATTGTTGAGGATGAATTCCTTAATTTTCTTGCTGTTAAAATTAAGACTCTAAGTCAGGACGAAATTGTCTTGTTGGCTGCAAAGACATTTGATTCTGATTGGATTTAGGCCTCAAAGAAGGTACTGTTTGAATTATGTCCTACATCACAACGGAATGTTTCTCATAAAGGGCCACAGAAAGACGATAATAACATAAAAAGCTGTCTTAAAGGCACAATATGTAATTTTAACCGCTACAGGGCACGTATTCAAAATAAACAAAGAGACAAATGCGTAGTTTGATGATGCCGTGGCTGAGTGTGGAATCATGGGAGTTGTGGTCTTCATCCTCGATAGGACTCGGGCAGAAATCATGTTCATGGATGAGCTAATGATTTATTAACGTAGTAGAATGAAGCAGGGTGAGGCTGAAAGCCGTCGAAGCAAAACGAGGCGCTGAACGAGCGCGACACACGGCTGGAAAGCAGAGGAGCTTTTATTATGCCACAGTCGACCGCTTCCGCTGCTTCCGGTCGTGCGTGTGTGGGGTAAAGCAGCGCTGTTTTATCATTCTAGATACATTTGAAAGTTCTGTTATAATGCTACTCTGTGCGGTCGTCACCTGTCTATTAAAACACACAACATATTAAAGCATCTTTGGTGTTTCCATGTTTTCTACAAAACAAAACCAGAAATCGAGGGGTTAT